TTACATAAATTATTTTAAAAAAAGGAAAAAATAAATAAGGGAAAATTAGTTCGAATAGACAATGGAGGAGATATAAAAGGATAACGGTGAGAGCACTGTGGAAACGAAGGTTCCTGCAATAATTGCAGAGGCAATCGGTTCTGAAAGTGAATAAAAAAATTACAAGTTCCAGCACGAGAGGCAAATTACTTGCGTAGTAATTTTCCATCGTTTGATTAATGAAAGGCAGGGCGATGGAAATGACCGGTTACCGCGATAAAACGTTCTGTGTTGGAAGTATAGTATTTGAAATAGAAAATCCCTTTTCATTGTCTGGCTCGATAAAACATTATATTTAAATATTTATTCATAAATAAAAACAAAAGAATATTCAAATACATATTTTGACACTTTTCAATATTTTTATTGACTCAAAGTATTATACATATGAATTAATGTGAAATGATTAACAAATTTTATACTTTGTTTAATGTGGATTTCTATTTATTTTTATTTATCAACAGACAATGATAAATTTGCAAAATTATTTATCATATGAGTCACTAATAAGGTATGTGATGAATGTAGGTTAGATTTTACTACGCCGTGTATAGTGGAATTTACCTGCAGGTATAACGTGGATGACAAGTGATTGAAGACCAGGTGAAAGAGATCAGATGTTTATGCTAAAGAACCTGACATCCAAGAAGGTACATACCAGAATATATATCTTCAGAAATGGACCTGCACTCTTAAGAAGGCACTCTTCATTTTTCAGAAGCCAACAATTAACCTCAATCGAGTTCATCAATATGGTTCTTACGAATCTCGTGTGTTATTAATTATACGATAAGTATAATTAATAAATCTATGGATGACGATAAACCTAGTTATTTTTACTGTGACTTTCGCCGTATTAAGAATCTAATTAAAAGTCGAAGAAAAATATTTCTAGCATATTTCCCTAGCGTAAGCACAACGCTGAAGCTTCTAGTTGCGGCCACCGAGAGGGCGCAACTGAGTTAGGCTACCACGACGCTATTATGTAAAGCATACTAGTTATTATTAGAATAGAATGTGTTCAAACTTTTCTAACATGATTAGAAAAACAGGTTATGAGAATCTTTTATTAGTTGGACGTGTCATACTTACAATTCAAATTTCATAGTATCACATAATAAAGAAAATAAAAAAGATGGACTGAGATTAAATGGGATAAAGGGATTAAATATTGAAATATAGTAGATTCGATAGATGCAGCATGCTCATAAATTACTGAATTAAAAGACGACTGTGATCGATGCTAAAATGAAACTTAATTGAAATCGCCGACGTTCAGAATTTACAATTTCTTCTTAATACCAAGTAATAAAACAAAAAGAAATTGTGGATTAAGTTCAAACTTCGATTTAGCTCAATGAACTTGCTACTAATTCGTTACATTAAATTCTATTCTTAGAATTTTCAATATTTAAAACCAATATTTAATTTCTCGTAAAATTCTGTTAATAACATTCCAAAACGTAAGAACTTGTTCCAAACTAATGAACTCTGGAGCATTTCATTTCATTCTGAATTTAAATAAGACTTCGAAAAATCGATAAGTTGAAAATTTAAACTTTTACTGTTCGGTTACTTTTAGGTTAGGTTTACCTAAGATACTTTCAAGTTCCATTAACTTTTATATAAGTTCAGTAATAATTTGATATGCAATAAAACAGTACTGACATAATTCATTCAATCACTATGTCAACAAATGTTTATCAAGAAAAGAATGAGGATTTCAGTAGCATCAAAGGAGTCAAGCAGACCAGAGTACCTCTCGTGCGTCACGTGGAGTCACGAGCGCCATCTTCTGAGCTCTTCGCAGTACTACTCGACATATTCCGCCAAACTAACTAAATCAACTTAACCCTTTGCACTCTACGATTTTTTGGCTAAAGAAGAGTAGAAATTCAAAGATTCTCCACTAAAAAGCTGACGATACTTTTTTGAGCAGTAAATATAGAATTGTATAATAATAGAATTGTAGAATTATTTGATTTCGATATCTCGCATACCGTTACATTGCATTAAATTTTATATATTAATTAATATCGATCTTCCAAATTTTATGAAACGGTGACTGAAGCTCACCTCTCGAATGCAAAAGGTTAATTTGTACTCGGTTTTCAACCGAATTTAATAAACAGACTGAGCGCTATCGGCAATCTTTGTTTCTACCATCAAAAACCATCTATCTATAATTCTTTATCTATCTATATTTCTTCACTACAAATACTGTCTATTAATTTCATCTTAACAATTGCAATAGCCAAACTAAATTACCTTAAAATCTAAATATTTTTCCTATTTTCCTTATCATTTATTGTTTTCCGTTTGAAATATCGATTTCCGAGTAAATGTGGTCGCGAATAACTGGAATGATTTCGATGATCGATAGATAGAATCCGAGTCCAGAGGGTAGCTTTCGACGCACTGCAGTTAGAACAGATATATGAATTCGGTTTTACGGCTGCGTAAATATAAGTTAGCCGTGAAATAGAATTAAACAGAGCGGGCAGGTCATGTCCCTCTGCCACGGTTTCGCAGATAGAATTACCAATACTGCCATGGAAAAAATATGTATTTTCCGTAGAAACAATTTTGCATTACATTTCATGCGACCTACCATTTCAAGTGGAGCTGACGATTAGAATTGGTTACTGCTCGTCGTGGAGCTTAAATAAATTATTTCTACATTTTTGATCCGTCTATTGAGATTGATGTATAATATTTCGAATAGATTAATCTCGAATAATTGAAGATAATTTAACCATCTACACTCGAAGCTTTTCTCGATTAAAGCTTAAAGCGATTTGGACTACAGGCTCTTTGTGCGTGTATAAGAAATTATTTATGATAAACGAAAAATTATAAATGCAAATTGAAAGACATTTTTTAGTATTAGAACTATCATACTAAAAAATGGGTGAAAATGTTTAGAATGTTAAATTACTGAAAACTGGCAACAGCATTTGATGAAGTTAATGTTGAATTTTAGTGCTACACGATTATAATTATTTTGTTTTATCTGTGTTAATTATTATTATCTTTGGGTACTAGATTTATGAATATATTAGAGATTGGTAGTTTTAGTATTGATGTTGTTTCACTTTTATATGCGAATATTTTACATTTGCTACATTTAACGAGATAAATATTTAACCTAAACCAAAATATTTGAAATAATATGATATTAATGAAAGAGCAAGAAGTAATATTTATTATATGGGTGCAGCATTTGTGAAGCACACGAATATTTAAATGCAATCTAGAATAAGAATCGAAAGCACCATTAATTGAAAAATAACATTCATCTTTCGCTGCTATATCAGCACTGAGATAAGTTTGCACTGAACTCACTAGCGCCACCACGACCCATATTTGATAAATGCAGAAGGAATATATGGCAAGCAAGTATATCGTTCAATTATTCTTGAATTTCATAATTATATTTATTAATATAACTATGATACTTCCTTGATAGATAATATGATATATATGTAAAATAATATTTTCGTAGATATATATCATATCATTTTAAACAATTTAGTTTAATTTTTATATTTCATTTGTTAAACGTAGTAGATATAAATATTCGAATATTTTTATATATGAGTTCATGTATGAAACTGTCAGTACAATCTGATACTATATTTTTCTCACTATTGCGAAATCTATGAATCACTATAATGCAGTATGGGGGGGGGGGAGGTTGCACCTTAAACATTCAACAAAATAAAAATATAATTCAACGTTTAGAGTAATATGTTTTGGAAAATAAACAAAAGTATTTGTGATGTAAATTTTATTAAAACATATTCTGCTTATTAATGCATTACACTTCTTATAAAGTTGATTTAAGAATATATGACTAATAACATTGGGGACTAATACTAAATATTATTTTGTTTATTCTCGATATTAATATTTCTGTTTATGTTGGATATATTTATCTGACATTTATCATAGAGTATGTAATTATTTATTATTCCTTTTTTAAGACATTTATTCTTCATTACCATTGTCTCATTTCAAATAAAGTCGAAATTAAATCTCTTATATAATTAAATAAAATAAGACAAATAAAGAAAGAAACATAGTATATAACTACCAAACTTCTTAAAATTACTGTTATTGTTGATGCCTCGTAACTTTTTATAAAATTCCATTAACAATTATTCTATTAATTATTCGTTAATTTAACGCACAAAATGGAAGAAAAAGATTACAGGAAAACGGAAGTTCAGGAACATAACGATTTTCTTATAAGAAAACTTAAAAAAATAATCTTAATTACTGCAATAAACACAATACTCATGTACTCATAGTATTCGATACATGAGTACTCAAAAACATGCACATCGACAGTACTTAATTAAACCTAAATGAACGAATCAATCAATAGTAAATAATAACACGTAAAATCTAAAGATACTATCTTCGATATTTTAACCAACTCAAATACATATAACAAAATAAAATAAAAATTTCTCGAAAATTAAATTTTCTGCATCGATTGATCCATCGATGATTCGAGCAATTGGAAGTCTGTATATCCAGCAATATTTTCCTGGGGAATCGCAAAGGAGCCAATCAATAGTAAATAATAACACATAAAATCCAAAGATACTATCTTCGATATTTTAACCAACTCAAATATATGTAACAAAATAAAATAAAAATTTCTCGAAAATTAAATTCTCTGCATCGATTGATCCATCGATGATTCGAGCAATTGGAAGTCTGTATATCCAGCAATTTTTCCCCTGGGGAACCGCAAAGGGAACGCAATATGGTGTACAGATATCTTTTTCCAACGTTTGATTGCTAAACATCCCCTACGAAATTACAAACCTCGCGGATATAGCGAGGTAACGAAGTCTAAATTGCGAACAAAGGGTGGAATTGTAGTTAGATGAAGAATACGCAGGAAATCTGAATCGACAGTAGTAAATAGCTGCTCCGGTGAAGTAGGATTATGGTTCTGTACACAGATACACACTTACTCTTTGTGGTACTCCCATTCTTGCGCGACCGTGCCTCGGGGAACCTTGAGTTTGCGCTTGTTTCTCTTTCCTGTGCGTCTTCAGACCACGCAGTAGTCGCGAAAACGTTGTTTTCTTCTTGCTTGTAGTTTGTCCTTGTTCTGTAAGCAGAAGAAAACAAGGGAACGTGAATATTAACGTAATGTACGGTGTTTCTACAAATTTCGGAATTTATTTACTTATTTTGATATTATCTGGAAGGTACTGACAAATTTTAAGAAATATAATAACGATTTGGAAATTTTTGTACATTTCTTATTTTTTAAAATACCTACGTATGGTATATTTTAAGTGTTCATATGTGATTATTTTCGCAGGTATCAGAAACGTGTTTTGGAATATCAAGAAAGAAGGAAACGTAAATATTAATGTAATCCACGGTGTTTTTAAAAATTTCAGAATTTATTTATTTATTCGATATTAATCAGAAGATACTTGTTATCCTCTTGTATTAGGATTTAACACGTTGAATGCCATGGGGGTCACCGGGGACTGGCATTCAACTTGGTGGTGACGCCAGGAGAGCCAACGGTGACCGCCGCGCCCAGATTGATAGAAATATATATAATTTAACCCATTCGCATCCAAGCGCGGAATATTCCGCGAGCCACGACTGTCGTCTATCACCGAGCGCGGAATATTCCGCGAGCCACGACTATCGCCTATCACCGAGCGCGGAATAATCCGCGAGCTGACTTTTTCCATTACCAGTTGCTGAATATTCATCATATGCCACAGATCACGTTTGATCTCTTTCGTGAGCATCTCATCTACATCGGTTTATTATATTCTTAACAAGTTTTACTTTTGTCGTGAAAATCCTTTTAACTGCCATTATGAGTAGGTGCTGATACGCGCGCGGTGATACGGGCTAGTCGTCAGTTGAACGTCGCTGATGCCTGAACACGGCACCTTAAGTAGAGCAATGATGCAAATGGGTTAAACAAATGTCAATATTTAGAAATTTTTATTATTACCATCGTTAATTGAATGGTGACCCCCGTCGCAATTAACATGTCAAATATGGTTATACACTGTGACTTATCTATTACACATAATATTTCAACATTATATGTATCGCGTAATAGAAAATTCATCGTGGTGCCACGTTAATAGAAAAACTGTGCATAGTAAAATTATTTAATCTTAATCGGCCACTATGTACAAAAATTATACAAATTTTTGGAATTTATACAAATTTTGCGCATATTAAAATCCGTTAAATATAACGTTAAAATAAAAATTTGTATAATTTTTATTATATTTGTAAAATTTGTATATATATATATTTCACAATATAATTTTATATCTATGGAGTTTAACACAACGGGTTAAGACAAATGTAAAGAAACAAAGTAATGAATTTCCATACATTCTTTACCTCTTGAGATAGTAATATTTACAGTAAGTCAGTTTTAAGTATCTCTCTATGATTATTTCTCAGTTTCAGAAAATCAGAAATATCAGAAAATGTTTGACACAATAATCAAGTGTGAAATATCTACTATATGACCTTGAGATGATCTTGAAGAGACGAATGAAGGCTACATTTAAATTTTCCTATGGAACCATGTATTTTTCATTGTTTATTGTAGTAACCAAGGATTGTGATTTCGAGTGAACATCTGAAATACCAAATATTTCGTGTTTCGTGAAATACTCGAGTATTAAAAAATTATTATTCGACTCTATCTCACGAGACACTCGAATCATGAGATAACCAGAACTTTTGATACCTTTCCAAAGTTAGCCTACAATGTACAGGTTGGTAGACAATTTTAAATCCTCCAAAGAAAATATCGTCTTCGCGTCAACTTATTTAAACATGAAACTCTTTCTTCGTTTTGGTTTTCGCAACGAGGATCTTAACTATCTTATGTATCTCGTATATCTCAGGATAGCCGGCTAATTTGTGTCACGGATAACTTAGGTGCTCGGGTACCTCATAAATAAGAGCTGTAGTTATAGCTGTAGTTATAGTCTTGAGATGCTTCCAAAATATTAAATTCACGTGTGAAGCTATTATCGAGTTGTTAATTTTTAAATATCGTCGCTCCTTTAAACTAGTTCTAGTGTTAAAATGATTAAAAAATAGAACGAAGCTCTAGTTCGTGTTGAGAAGCTTCCAAAATATTAACTACACTTGTATTCTACGAAAGCTATTATGTAATTATTAATTTTTAAATATCGTTCCTCCTTTAGGCGTTTATCAGGAAAATTTATGAGGAAAAAGTGGATAAAAATAAATCTTAGGTCTTCGAAAAAGTTATGTAATTTAATGGAATGCTGATGAGAAGAATTTATGTCCAGAACTATAACGAATAATATTTCGAAAACGAGAATAGTGACGTTAAACACTATAATAATTAATAATTAAACAAAAATAAAATTGAACGATAACGTTTACAATCACAAATATATCCATTTATCTAACAATAAGCTTCTTTGAATTTTATTTAATTTAATTATTCACGTATTAGTGGTTTATTAATATACGTATCTTCACACATCATGACTAAATTATATATTTGTAATGACTATGAGTTTTCAGAATTTTTATTAAACTAAAAAAATTTGTAATAAATTGTATTTCATTTCCGCGTTGTACATGAACAGAATTCTGGCTATAGAAGGTTAATTGATCCATCTAAATATTTCACAAATGAATTAAAAAAGAATGTTAAATTATATAAATTTTTCACACATCGAAATACTCACATATATTTTAATCTTTTGTTTTATATTCGCAAAATAAATCAAACTAAACACTTTTAAAATTAAATTAAATATTATTTATGTATGAGAAATTTAAATATTCAAGGAAAACAAGTGTATAAACTTAAGAAAAAATCAGAAACTCTTGAGAAAATTCCATCGGTAGGTTAGGAAAATATTATTCAATTTTTCATCGATCATATGAAGGAGCGAATAGGAAATTGAACTTGACACTCCCTAATAAAACGTGACAAAATTTCCAATACGCCGAAAAATTTCTTTTCTCGCCAACCGACATCGTATGACATCTTAGTTGTTCATAAAACAAAATGACACGAAAAAGAGATAAATAGTTTCGATGTATATATAAATATACTTAACGAATTTTCAAAATTCATTTTCTGAAAAAGTAAAGTTCAGAATTGTAAAATTTTATTTTACACTTTTGGTTAGTTTTATGAAGAATTCCTTCATCAATTGTGATGCAAACACTATGATAGCATAAAAAATCATATTATTTTATATGATTTTAGAAATGATCAATTTTACACAATTAGAATCGTAAGATTGAGAATTGTAATTAATTAAGGATTTCTGAGGCGAGGATTAGTATTTCTTAGGCTTAAAATTAGGATTGGTGAGATGTCAATACGAGTACGAATGATCATCCTAATAAGTAGTATTATTCTTCTTATATTTTATAAGTGCATTACTAATATAACAGATATTTGTAATTTCTTTTCTTTTCAAAGAAAACATTTTGATTTCGAAGGCCTTTTTAGTCTAACAATAAGAGCACGTTTGAATTTCCTAATTAATTAAAAAATTAAAAAATTAAAAAATTGAAAAATGAAACTAAAAAATAAAGAAACTGAAAAATTGATGTATCAAGGATGAGAGAAATTGAAAAATGAGAGTACTGAGAAATTAGAAAATTGAAAAATGGTAGCAAAATGTAGAAATTAAGGAATTTAAAAATATAGAAATACAAGAATAGAGTAGCAGAAAAATTGAAAAATTTCAAAATGTTCTACAAATGTGCATAATTAAGTAAACAGGTCGTAGGAAGGAACATTCTAGATCCAAATGTGTACTTTTCTCTAAAGATCTTGAGAAGAGTATCAAATAGGAACTGGACCAGAACTGATGTATACTTCAGGTAGTCTATACTTAATCCTGGATTCTTATATCCTTAGATTTCTGACCATTGGCTCGCCCAGACGTTCGAACATATAAACTTTGATACTTGTCCGATTTTACGACCTGACTATATCGCGGAGGTTACTGTAGTGCGAGAGAATTATGACATACCTCCCACAGCGGTTAAGAAACTAATTTCGGGATGAAGAAAGTATAGGAAGAACGGATACACTAGGAACCTTGAAACGAAAAGTAGAGTTGGTCGTCTATTATCGGTCTACCAGACTTGTTTATAGCTTTCAGCAGCCTTAGCACTTAATTCTAACTAAGGATTTCTTGCGTTAAGCATATCCAGGAGCCTCTTATAAATAGCTATATACACTATCCGTTAAGAAATTTCAATCACTTTTAATATTCATGTTTCACAAAGAAATATATAAATAAATATTGATGTAATTTATTGTTTCTTATATTTAACAATAAAATATGAGTAATTCACTGCACAAATCGATTAACTCCACTTTTTGAAAAATCTTAAATTTAAGTGTCAAAGCACTTGGTATAGTCATAACTTTTTATATTTATAATAACTTTCCCTGATAATTAAGATTAACACCGTTAAACGACAAAAATTTTTTGGCCACTGAATAATAAATAATTTATTTCAGAGGTCACTTTGATTAACTCCGTACTCTAATGTAAATCGTTGCAATAATGCAACTCAAATGCACTAGCTAGCCATGAATGATAACGGTGAATTTTTTAGTGCCGTCTTATCAGAATTTAAATAAAATTTAGTAAAATTTAAATTTATTACTTTTTCACTTGCGAAATCGATTAACTCTTCCAGTAACGTAAAAATGGTAACATTACTAACGATCACCTTTTGGCTATTTTTTTTTGTAAATTTTATATACCGTTAGATGAAAGTTACATTCGTATTTATGCATTCTACGATATTTATTTCGATTTAAATTATAAAGGGAATTTTAAAAAACAATATACATTATTTCATTGCATTTCTCCACTTTTTGTTTCATGGAGTTAATCAATTTGTGCAGTGAACGGTTCATATACAAATGTTCTTTCATCATATCAAAATCGAATCCCGAATTAATTTCAATATTAATTTAATTTAAATGTCAATAATAATTTCTTTCACTTCGACAGGATTCTGATTTTAATTTTTTGAGGAATCAAAAATTCTTTTCCAATCTTTGGGCTGGCGGGATCTGTGGAATATCGC